TAGAGAAAGCTACTAAATTTCACACATAGGCCTAAGCTGCAGTAGTTTTTCGTTCTTGTGCTTTTAATACTTGAAGAATGTACATATACATTGACATCTGCATTTACAGATACTACCTAAAGAAAAGAAACATTGATAGCTATCATAGATTTTATTTCCTTAAATCATGGGTGGTATTTGGGATTTGTTTCAGAATTGGGAGGTAGAGACAGATTGAATGGACGAGAGTGTATGTGAAACAGAATTGGCCATAAATTGATCATTGTTGAAGCTAGATGTGAAGGAATTCATTATACCATTCTTTCCACTTTTGAAATCTTTTTAAAAAGCAGATTGTACCGTTTTAGTCAATAGGTGGCACTGCATTGTCACCTTGAGAATAGGTTGGTTGATACTGGATGAATATTTTTACTTATGATGTTTAAGATATTCTAATATTTTATTAAAAGCTTTCTTTTTTCTTTGTAACTAAGAGTTAACAGATTAAATTATAATCTTGTGAAATTATAACTAATTTCTGGCATTGACAGCTAATAAAGATAGAATTTGAGAAAACTTTTAACATACGATTTTGTATTACCAGCTTAATGCCATGTATTAAGATTTAGAGTATGTATAAAAGCACAATACAGAAATAAAGCTAAAAACCTCAAATTTGTTAGGATGTTGAGTTTTAAGACAGAAAAATGAAATTCTGTCAACATGTAGTTCTAGTTCAAGGATTGGGAATTACAAGTTAACTTGATTTTTTAATACAATACAACAAAAAAAAGGTATACAAAAATGGTTATAGTAGCTGACAATAAATTTAAAAGTAGTTTAGTTTAATAATCTATTTTTATGTTTTGGGTTGAAGGAAATGTGTGGTAGGAAAAGTGTGTGTGATAGGAACATGCAGGAGCATAAATATGTGAAACTACTTCAGAATTTTGTCACTATCCCACCATCTCATAGTGCTGACTTCTGGTCTACAAAGAAACTACTTTCTCTGGTGCATTATGCATAATAGTAAGCAGCAGAACAGGTCTTCATCGTGAATCAAGACCCGTTTCTCCTAATGTATAGTCTGAGTATAATCACCTTTTTAACCCGAGTGGACAAGGTTTGTTTCCTCCTACGTATGGATTCCCATTTTATGGTATAAAGTCTAAAAACCCACCATTTCACCATGTATGCATCACTGCTAATATGATTGCAGTGTCAGTCCTGACTGCTTGTGTCCTAAATGTGAACCTTCAAGCTCTTTTCTTACTTACCGTCTCATTCCAAATCCCAAATATTGGTGTTGGTTTTTTATTTTGGTATAAAATAATTATTTTCTACACAGTTAAATATACATAAAAGACAGATCAGAGAATGGCTGTAAGTGAACAAAATACACCCTGTTTATCTAAGGTTCTAGGCAGTCTGCATTCCCTTGTTTTGTTTTTTGATACAAAGTCTAGCTCTGTTGCCAGGCTGGAGTGCGATGCTTAATCTTGGCTCACTGCAACCTCTGCCTCCCGGATTCAAGCAATTCTCCTGCCTCAGCCTCCTGAGTAGCTGGAAGTACAGGCACGCCTGCAATGCCCACCTAATTTTTGTATTTTTAGTAGAGATGGGGCTTCATTCACCATGTTGGCCAGGATGGTCTCAATTTCCTGGCCTTGTGATCTGAACCACCTCGGCTTCCCAAAGTCCTGGATATACAGGCATGAGTCACTGCACCCAGCATACATTCCCATTTTTTGTTGTTTGTTTTTGAGATGGAATCTCACTTTGTCATCCAGGCTGGAGTACAGTGGCGTGATCTCAGCTCACTGCAACTTCTGCCATCCAGGTTCAAGCGATTCTACTGCCTCAGCCTCCTGAGTAGCTGGGATTACAGGAGTCTGCCACCACGCCTTGCTAATTTTTGTGTTTTGGGTAGAGACAGGGTTTCACCATGTTGACCAGGCTGGTCTCAAACTCCTAACCTCAAGTGATCCGCTCGCCTCGGCCTCCCGAAGTGCTGGGATTACAGGCTTGAGCCACCGTGCCCAGCCTACATTCCCCTATTTTTTTTTAGCAAGAAACATTTGAATGAATTTTAAATATGTGTATACGTATAAGCCAGATTTTTTGCTATCCATATCCCAGAGAGACTAATTATTTCTTTATGGCAACCTCAATCAATAATAACAGTGTCTCTAATTTCAGATGTTAATTTCTTGAGACATACCAGTCCTTAACAATGTATTTGCATCCCTGGTCAGGTTGCTGGAGGCTATATTTTACAAACTCAAACCAGGAAATAATTAGCTCCACAATGATGGTTCTTAAACCTTAGTGGGCAGAAGAGTCATCAGAGATGCTTGTTAAAATGTATATTCCAGGTCCCAACTCCCAGAGACTGATTTAGGAAGTCAGGGGTGAAGCTTAGGCATTTTTAATAAACACCCCAAGTGGTCTAATGCTGGTAGTTCTGAGAAGTGCTATTCTAGGACCCTAATCCTTTACTATGTTTCTCAGAATCATTGCTATTTCTTCTTCAAAGAATCAGGCCTATTTATTTAGAGCATTTAATGATATGTAAGCACTATGAATAAGGTGTTGAAATCCTTTTATATTTTAGAGTATGACAGTGTTAATTTTCTCAGGTAATATTTTCTACTTTAAAATAGTCTCCATTAACCGTTATAAAACTATGTCGTTGTAAAATATTCTACATATATTATGGAGTTAAATCCAAACAATAACTGATAAGCTAGGTAAGAAAGATATTATCATCACCATTGGATAGAGAAGGATTCCTCATCCTCAGCACACTCTTGTCACTTTGGGCCAGGTAAATCCCTGTCGTAAGGGCTCCCCTGCACATTGTAGGGTATTTCATAGCATTGCTGGCCTCTACTTACTAGGTGTAGTAGCATCGCCCTTCCTCAGTTGTGATAACTAAAAGTGTTTCCAGACACTGCCACATGTTCTCTGGGTGACAAAATCACCCTCTGTTAACTAATGTAATGTCAGTAAATCTACAATGTTTAATATGTTTTATACATTCAGTCAGTGCATGTTAATTGAGCACATATTATGTATCATGTGGTGTTCTAGGCTTTTGCAATATTGTACTGTCATACTGTATGGAATTTACATTCAAGTTGGGGAGTGGAGAGCAATATAAATATACATTTTAGGAAAGGCCTCTCTGAGGAAATGACATTTAATCACATACCTTGAAATGATGTCAAGAAGTAATCCAAGCAAAGGGCAATTCAGATAGAGGACCCAGCAGTGGGAACATGATTGAAGAACAGCAAGAATGTTGGTATGGTTGGAGTAAAGGGAGCAAAGGAGAGTCACAGAAAATAGTTTTAGAGGGAGTCAGGGGCCAAATTGTAATGTCTTTTTAGCCCATAGAAACTTGAAATTTATTTTAAATGTTATATGAAATTTTTTGAGATGTTTGGACAGATAATTAATTTACATTTTAAGCAAATCACTAGCTATTGTGTGGAAAATAGGGAACAGGGACTAGCAGTGAAAACGGAAGGTAGGAGGCTGATAGATGGAGGCAGTAGAAGTAATGACAATTGACAGAAGTTGATGAGGTTGAGCCAACAAGACTTGCTAATGAGAGAATCAGCCTTTTGGCCTTAGCAGCTACTAAGGCAGGGAGGACTGCAAGAGGAACAGGTTGGGAGGATAGAGAATCAGTATCTTTGGCAGCAGGTTAGATTTTAGAATCTAACAGTCATCCAAGTGAAGTGGCTAGTGGGCAGCTGGGTATCAGTATCTGGGGTTCATGGAAGGGGTCAAGGTTGATTATTAATTTGGTAATTCTTAGCTTACAGATGTATTTAGGGCCTATATTAATTTGGTAATTCTTAGCCTATAGATCTATTTAAAGGCATGGGACTAGGTGAAGTCATCCAAACCCAGTGGGAAGAAAAGAGAGCCTCTGGAAAACTGAGCCTTGGGTTAACCTAAACTTAAACGTGCAAAGAACAGGGAAGAAAGCCAGCAAAGAAGGCAAAAAGGAGCTGTGTGTCTCCGAAAACAACAGAAAAGGCCATTTCAAGGAGGAGGAAGTGCTTACTTGTGCCTAATGCAGCTGTTTGTTGAGAGGCTCAATAAAATAAAGATTGAGAATTGATCACTAAATTTGGCAAGATGGAAATTTTTGATGAATTTGACAAAATTGGTTTCAGAAGGATGGGAAGAACAAAATACTGATTGGAATGGATTAAAAAATAATGAAAAATGAGAAGAGTACAGTGAACTCCTTTAAGGCAGGGTGTTTTGTTTTGACTGAGGTTTAATTTCAGCATAGTAAAATGCACAAATCTCAAGTATGTCTTTTATTGTTTAATATATTACAGCTTATTTTATGCTGGTGGAAATAATCCAGTTGAGACAGAAGAACTGAGAGAGAGTAGATAACTGTGAGAACAAAGCTTTGGGTAGGCAACAGAGATAGGCTGTCATGCTCAAGTGGAATGGTTGGCCTTAGAAGAGACAGGCTGCTCATTATTACAACACCAAGGGCAGAGCATAGTGCTGCAGAAGAACAGAAGGTTGCGGATTTGTTGGTGGGAAGATGAGTTTTCTGATAACTTCCCAGTGAATTAAGATCTTTGGCTGAGAATGAAGAGATGAGAAGGGAATTAGAGATTGATAATGAAAAAAACATAAATGATCATGAGAATGAGAAAGTGAATTTCCTAGAGAAACATAAAAGCATTGCAAAAGACTATTTGAGATTATTTAGTCATAACTTTAAGAAGAGACCTGTCCAAGAGATCGAGACCATTCTGTTCAACGTGGTGAAACCTCGTCTCTACTAAAAATACAAAAATTAGCTGTGCGTGGTGGTGCGTGCCTATAGTCCCAGCTACTCAGGAGGCTGAGGCAGGAGGATTGCTTGAACCCATGAGGCGGAGGTTGTGGTGAGCCAAGATCGTGCCATTTCACTCCAGTCTGGGTAACAACAGCGAAACTCCATCTCAAAAAAAAAAAAAAAAAAAAAAAGAGACCTGTCAATCCTTTTGTAGTTTATAAGTATGATGATGGGTGTTCATGCTCCTGTGAGATGTCTCCCCCTCTAAACCTTGTAACAACATAGCACATTACCCTTCTGATGTGAGGGGAAACGAGAGAGAGGGCTATCTATCTAGTTTTTTTAATCTACCCATGTTCAGCTAGTCTGGTACAGGCACGCATTAGGCAGATAAAACAGATTTGAGGCTTCAGCAGGTGGTTCTGATGGGAGGAAAGAAAGCCAGGCATAGGCATCAGTTATATGCTAGGAGGTGGTTATATCCTTCAATCAAGGATGGAAGTGAAGACAGAGGTTCTCATGTGCTGGATGTAGAAAGGTCAATAGGTTGGTGGACTCCATGGGGTTGTAGGTGTGAGGCTATGAACAGAGGTGAATGGCAGAGTCAGTACCTGCTGGTCAGAAAATGAGTTTTGTGAAATTGAGGCTTTTGGAGCTGCATAGTAGTATTTGATGACAAGTTTTTATGGCCAGTGGAGGAAGTAGCTGAGTTGAGGTGAGGACAAGATAGTTGGAGGTGAGGGAAGGATTCAAGGAACTGAGGGTTCAGGATGGTGGTAGGTACCTGTGTAATAGAAGTCACTAAGAAGGCTGGTGCTGAGAGGAAGAGAGTGACCTTTGCTAAATCCTTCTGTGGATGAGGAGATGCGGCAGAGAAAGCTGAAAGGATGTAATCTAACAGCATGCACTTCAAAGGGGATGTGGTCTTTTTTAAAGAGGGAGAAGAAATGATCTTCAAGTAGTGACGAGTGAGGCAGCCATCAAACCCACCTTAAGGCTTGAAGTATGTCAGATGTGGAAACAAAAGCAGTACTCAGTTGAGAAGACTGCAGGGGTAACTTTTCTCTGAGGGCGGACATGTTTCACTTAGAGCAAGGAAGAGAAGGGAGAGAAAGGAAGAGAAAGGAACATTTAGAGGCCAGGATGAGAATTTAAATTTTGCTAGTGTCAGGGACTGAGTCCCAGGAATTTCAGTGAAAGGATTTGAGGATTAGAAACTTTCCACCCTTAATTTTTAATAATTTTGCCTTGGAAAAAATTTTCATGTTTTACTTAATTTATCTGGAGAAATTACAAAATGTAATCTCTTCCAGGAACTAATTTGAGCCTTAATTTACTTTGTAACATGTTGATTACAGGAATGGTTTGCAGTGTATGTGGAACTTAATCAGCAAATTGCAGCACTCTTGAATGCTGGCGATGAGGAAGATCTTGTGGAACTGAAGTCACTGCAGCAACAACTTAGTGATGTTTGTTATCGGCAGGCCAGTCAGCTGGAATTTAGGCAAAACCTTTTACAGGCAGCTCTCGAATTTCATGGTGTCGCCCAAGATGTAAGTGTCTACTCTGATTCTTTTTTTCTTCTTCAAATTATCTGAACGCTTATCTATGCATAATTTTTTTCAGGTTTGCATGCCTCCTAATTATTTTTCTGAACCAATAGAATGATTTACTGGTGGGGGTAATGATATAAAATTCTTCATTTTTTTTTTAAACAAGTATTATTTTTAAGTCATTCTGCATGCAATTCAACCTTTCCAATCTAGTAGAATATTTTATTTTGACTGCTTCTCAATGTTTATGCTTTATAACATAGATGGAAATGGAAGTCTCAATACTTTTTTGCATTCTGCTGACCCAGATGTACTTCTTTGTCTTCCTGGTGCATGCATCCATGTGTTCTATCTTCCAGATAACTCGTATTCTAATGATTTGTCCTTGTCTTGTAACAGTGTAGTCTTTTCAAGTGTAATTGTGATAACCTCATTAGATATAAACCTCATTAATCATTAAACACTTTAGATGCTGATTACATCAGGGTTATCTCTTTGGTGTCCCTCTGCTTTAGTTGTCTCAGCAGTTGGATGGCTTATTAGGGATGTTGTGCGTAGATGTAGCACCAGCTGATGGAGCATCGATTCAGCAAACTTTAAAACTGCTTGAAGAGAAGCTGAAAAGTGTTGGTAAGCAGATTTTAAAAATGCTGAAACATAAGGTTTTTTTTTTTTTTTTTAAATATCATTACCATGGTTAGACAATTAAATCAACTTATACTGAACTAATCGTTACTATTTTCAGGAAACAAAGAAAAATTGTATAAAAAGGTTTTATTCCTTTGAGGGTTATAATTTATGCTGAAAATTTTATTTTTTATTGTTAGTCACTCCTCCCTTCACTGGGCTTTTACCCTGGCCCGTTTACCCAGCTATCTCTACAGGTGCTGTGTCTTGCATAGACTATGAACAGTTATTCGTAGTGCATGCATAAACCGTAATTAGCTGTGAAGTGTTCTGTGGTAAACCCTGTATGCCCAAAATTGTGTTTATGCAATGATTTTTGTTGTTGCTTTATCCTAACCTTGTGAAAACAATAGTTGGTTTGGTTTTTTGATTCTTGTCTCTCTAAACTGAGAATATTGCCAGATTACCCACTCTCCAAGAAGTGGGGGTCCAGTTACATTAAGGGGTCTCGTTATATTAAGCTGGTTCTGTCATTTGACATCAAGGCCTTTAAAATTTTTCTACAGCAGGAGACACAATGAGCTTTCCTAAAAGGTCAGGATGTGAAAATGGAAAGCTGGGGAGTCGTATCAAGGGGGACAAAAGGGGAACAAAAGGGGAAATGGCGATGGAAGAGAGGAAACAGGAACTTAAGGCAGAGAACTAGTAGAAAGTGGTTACACAAGGCTAAATCAAATTAATTAATTATTGAAAACTGCTTTAGGGAATTGGTTTGAAAAATCATGCTCGTACTGACATTCTACTTACTGATAGCCTTTGTCATTTTTATTTTATTTATTTTTTGAGACGGAGTCTTGTTCTGTTGCCCAGGCTGGAGTGTAGTGGTGCAATCTTGGCTCATTGCAACCTCCGCCTCCTTGGTTCAAGCGATTCTCCGCCTCAGCTTCCCAAGTAACTGGGATCACTGCCACCACACCCCTCCTAATTTTTGTCTTGGTAGTTTTAGTAGAGATGGGGTTTCGCTATGTTGGTCAGGCTGGTCTCGAGCTCCTGATCTCAGGTGATCTGCTCACGTTGGCCTCCTGAAGTGCTGGGATTATAGGCATGAGCCACCACACCCGGCCAGCCTTTGTTATTTTAACAGATGATATGCATAATGCATATTTAGTATCTGATGACAAATGAATTTTATTTTAAAATACTAGAAGTTTTCTTCAGCCACAATCTTAAACAAAAAGTTCCTTTACACATCTAATTTAGAGAAATTGTAAATATACCCTAATTGTTGCTTCCTATGGTATAAAAGCTAGACGGTACCGTTAATCGCAATGTTTAATGTCCTTTGACACTGATAATACATTGCTGGAGTTTCTAAAATCTTGCAAGGGTTATGCGCTTTTTTAAACAACATATTTGCCTTGTTCTTCTAAAAGTTATCATAAAAGCAGGAAGAAAAAATAGAAAATTTTTTTCTATTAGAAATAAAAGTTTTCATACTTTTCTTCTGCTTTCATTTTTTAAAGTAATTATTGTCTATGGAAACCCATGTTTTCAAAATTCCCTTTAGAGAGAATTTAAACATGAGAGAGAGCACCTGTTCGAGTCACATTTAAAGGGTCTTATTGCTTGAGATGTTCATAGGATGGAGTCTTTGGATTCCATCCCAAGATGGCTTAATGTACAAAGCTCTCCTATACTTGGGATCCAAATAAAATATCAGATGAGATGATTTGTTTGAGGGAGGGAAAGCACCTTAGTTGTGTAAGAGATTAAATCTAGTAACTTTTATTTTAGATGTGGGATTGCAAGGTTTGCGTGAAAAAGGTCAAGGCCTCCTGGATCAGATCTCCAATCAGGCATCCTGGGCCTATGGAAAGGATGTAACCATTGAAAATAAAGAAAATGTGGACCACATACAAGGAGTGATGGAAGATATGCAGCTTAGAAAACAAAGGCAAAGTTTGACTGTTAATTTTTACCAAAATAGCATAATTTTAATTAAAATGACAAGTTATATAAATTACTTATTTTGTATACAGACAAAAAGTTCTTAACTGTTCTATAGTAGACATACAGTAGGTTTTTGGTGAATGTAATTATTGTTATAATTTTACTAACAAATGGTAATAATTTATTCAATTATTAGGTACCTTTTCCCTTTTTTATTGGGTTGTAAAACTTTCAGTTATACTCAAGTACTTCATATTCTATATCCTTAATGTAGTCTGTGGCTCTGTTCTTCTTTAAAAAAAACTTTCTGAAGAATTTTGCTTTTTAAATTTCATTTAGTTTAGAGTTGCTGTTAAACTTGTCATATACATTGATCTATTTCTTCATCTAAACTTACAAAATGTCACACATTCATTGTTCTCATATTTGCTGTAGGAGGATTTAACAGTAGACTAGTGATGTTTAGTTTCATTTGCTATAAAACTAGGAATTTAAAAGATTCTTTGAAAACTCACTTTGCAAAAGCAACTATAAAGTATTGCAAAGTAAAGGATTAAAATTATGCAGTATGCACAATCTAGCATGGTTATAAGACATTTTTCACACTTGAAAATTTTGAGATCATCAACAAAACTTTACAAAAAGCTGCTTCCATATCACAGAGAAAACAGTCATGAGGCAGAAATTTCTTCCTTCATATCGACAAAGTTCTCATTATTCTCTCTCCACAGAGGATGATAGAGCTCTCCTGTTACCAAAGCTGATCTTCCATTTAGGCTCTGAGTCTAATTACCCGCTTCACTCCTAACTCCATCAACTCCCATTTTCTACTCTGATTCCTGTCCTTCACTTAAATGCTTAAATTTCTCCTATTTTAAAAATAATCATCACACACATGGATGTGTCTTCCTCTTCAGCTCTTTGTCTTTTAGCATTAGAGCTCTTCTTCCTCACAGCTAAGTCATTTGGATAGGTTTACTATACATTCATACTACTTCCACAGTGTCTCCAATTTATTTTCAACCCTTTTCCGTCTGGCTTCTACCCTCACTATTTCACTCAGTGTTGCTCTTACTGGCATTATCAATGTAATAAATGCTGGATCTTACTTGAAATCCTGGGAATACTTTTAGTCCTGACTTGCTCAACTGTGATTAGTGTTAGGCACGACTGACTTTTCTTTCATTTTGAAACTTCCTGATAACCTTGTCTTTCTTGAAAACACACTAATGATCCTTTTCTGTTTCTTGTTCTTTGTCACTGATTTCTTGGCCACTAGCTAAAGTTACTGCTCCCAAGGTTTGTTCTGAGGCCAGATTCCCACCTTTATATGGTCTCCCTGGACATTCTGACTACTTGAATGAACTTTCTTTAATAGATCATGGTTTAGTAGTTAGTTACAGCTCTTACTAAGACCCTCTCGCATGCTGTAGACCCAAAAATCCAGTTGCTTCCTTAGTATTGCCTGCTGGATGCCCCCATGTACTGCTGAAACCTGGTGTATTAGTCCATTCTTGCATTGCTATAAAGAACTACCTGAGACTGGGTAATTTTTAAAGAAAAGAGGCTTAATGGACTTACATTTCCATAGGCTGTACAGGAAGCATGGCTGAAGAGACCTCAGGAAACTTCCAATCATGGCGGAAGGCAAAGGGGAAGAAACAGACACATCTTATTTGGCTGGAGAAAGATAGGGAAGGGGGAGGTGCTGCACGCTTTTAAACAACCAGATCTCATGAGAACTCACTGACATGAAAATAGCAACAGGGAAATATGCCCCCATGATCCAATCACCTTCTACAAGGCCCCTTGTATTAGTCTGTTTTCACACTACTATAAGGATATACCCAAGACTGGGTAATTTATAAGAGAAAGAAGTTTAATTGACTCATCTCACAGCTTTGCAGGGCTGGGGAGCCTCAAGAAACAGAATCATGGTGGAAGGGGAAATAAACACGGCCTTTTTCATATGGCAGCAGCAAGAAGTGCAGAGGGAAAAGGGGGAAAACACCTTATAAAACAAGTTGATCTTAAGAGAACTCACCATCATGAGAACAGTATGGAAGTAACTGCTGCTATGATTCAGTTAACCCCTGCTGGGTCCCTCCTATGACATGTGGAGACTATGGGAACTACAATTCAAGATAAGATTTGGATGGGGGCACAAACAAATCATATCATCCCTCCTCCAACATAGGGGATTACAGTTCAACATGACATTTGAGTGGGGACACAAATCCAAACCATGTTATTCCACCCCTGGTCTCTCCCAAATTTGATGTTATTCTCACATAGCAAAATATAATCATCCCTTCTAAACCAGTCCCCCAAGTCTTAATGCATTTCAACATTAACTTGAATGTCTACAGTTCATAGTCTCATCTGAAAAAAGGCAAGTCCTGTTCACCTATGAGCCTGCAAAATCAAACACAAGTTAGTTACTTCCAAGATACAATAGAGGTATACACATTGAGTAAATACCCCCATTCCAAAAGGGAGAATTTGGCCAAAACAAAGGGTCTGCAGGCCCCATGCAAGTCCGAAACCCAGCAGGGCAGTCGTTAAATCTTAAAGCCCTAGAATAATCTCCATTGACTCCATGTCTCACATTCAGGCCACACTGATGCAAGAGGTGAGCTCCTAAGGCCTTGAGCATCTCCATCCCGGTGTCTTTACAGGGTACGGCCCTCTTGTCTGCTTTCACAGGTTGACATAGAGTGCCTACGGTATTTCCAGGTCCATGGTGCAAGCTGTCAGTAGATTTGCCATGCTGGGGTCTGAAGGATATTGGCCCTCTTCTCACAACTCCACTCAACAGTGACCCAGGAGAACTCTGTATTGGGTGGTCCAACCCCACATTTCCCCTCCACACTGCCCTAGTAGAGGTTCTCTATGAGGCAACAGACTTCTGCCTGGACATCCAGGCATTTCTATACGTTCTCTGAAATTTAGGCAGAAGCTCCCAAGCCTCAGCTCTTGCCCTTTGTGCACCCATAGGCTTAACACCACGTGGAAGCTGCAAAAGCTTATGGCTTGCACCCTCTCTGGAGCAGTGGCCTGAGCTGTATCTGGGGTCCTTTTAGCCATGCTGGAGCTGGAACAGCTGGGATACAAGGAACAGTGTCCCAAAGTTGTGCAGGTCAGCGGGGCCGTGGGCCTGGCTGCAAAATGATTCTTCCCTCTTAGGCATCCAGGCTTGTGATGGGAGGGACTACCACAAAGTCTTCTGAAATGCCTTCCAAGCATTTTCTCCATTGTGTTGGCTATGAACATTCAGCTCCTCTTTACTTATGCAAATTTCTGCAGCCAGCTTGAATTTCTCCCCCAGAAATGGTTTGTTTTTTTTATATACCATGTGGCTAGGCTGCAAATTTTTCAAATTTTTATGCTCTGCTTTCCTTTTAAACGTAAGTTCCAGTCTCAGATCATCTTTTTGCTCACAAATACATGCATAGGCTGCTAGAAGCAGCCAGGTGAAGTCTTGAGTGTTTTGCTGCTTAGAAATTTCTCCCACTAGATACTGTAAATCACCTCTCTCAAGTTCAAAGTTCCACATATCCCTAGAGCAGGGGTACAATGCTGCCATTCTCTCTGCTGCTGCATACCAAGAGTGACCTTTGCCCCAGTTCCCAATAAGTTCCTCGTCTCTTTGAGACCCTCTCAGCCTGGACTTCACTGTCCATATCACTATTAGCATTTTGGTCACAACAATTTAACAAGTCTCTAGGAAGTTCCAAACTTTCCCTCATCTTCCTGTCATCTTGTGAACCCTCCAAACTGTGCCAGCCTCTGCCCATTGCCCAGTTCCACATTTTCAGGTATCTTTAAAACAGTGCCCCACTTCCAGTACCAGTTTTCTGTATTAGTCTGCTCTCACATTGCTATAAAACACTAACTGAGACTGGGTAATTTATGAAGAAAATAGATTTAATTGATCCAGGGTTCTGTGAGCTGTACAGGAAGCATGACTGGGGAGGCCTCAGGAAACTTTCAATCATAGTGAGAGACAGAGGGGAAGCAGGCATGTGTTACATGGCTGGAGGAAGAAGAGAGTGAAGGGGGTCAGTGTCATGTACTTTTAGCCAACCGGATCTTGTGAGATCTCACTCACTTTCACAAGAACAGCAAGGAGGCAATCTGCCCCCTTGATCTAATCATGTCCCACCATGCCCCTCCTCCAATATTGGGGTTACACTTTGGTTATTTTGGGTGGGGACACAAGTCCAAAACCCAAATCCAAACCATATCACCTAGTATGTTCAGACTGGAATTGTTCTCCCCTAAAACTTGCTGTCCTTTTTAAACTTCCTACCTAGGTTAAAGTTACCATCAGCTACCAAACTTGAGATTTATCCTAAAATCCTTCATCTTTCTCATCTCTTATAGCTTATTCAGATGTCCAAGTTCTACTGTCTCTGAATCTCAAACATTTCTATTCAATATCTTAAATTCCTACCTGCCTCTGACCTGGCTACTTTCCAGCTTTTTGTATGCAAGAGTAATCTTCATAAAGTACAACAATTGTATCAAACTTCCTTCAGTGACTTCCTGTTTTCTCAGATGGCGTTTGTCATCTTGGAATAATGTAGGAGACCCTTTATAATCCAATCTCGCATAATTTTATCTTCTGTAACATTCCCATGAAATCACACAGTTGTTTTTATCTTCCTGAAAGCATCGTGCTGTTTCATGTATCCATGACTAAGAATACTTCTTTCCTCATTTTCTGCTCAGAGAATTCCTACATGTTCTTCATGACTCAGGAATATCTAATTTAGGAAGCCTTTTTGGACTTCTAAGACATGTTAGTCACTTGTTCCTCACTACTCCCATAAAACATTTTAAATAGCTTTATAATAGTACTTATTACATCTCTGCAAATGGGAGCATCTTGCTGGTCGAAACCATATCTTATATTTTCTCCAGCACACATTGTCTAGTACCTGAATACAGTATATCTATGATACCATCTTCATCATTAAAGTGGTTTACATTGTTTTTTAGTTTCAGATTTAAAAAATAATTATCATCACTCCCCTTCAGTCCATTGTAGAATTATGCTAAGTTGAATTTTAACATTACAACTTTTATTGAGAGTGTCTTTATTTTTTTAAAAAAGCCTTGTGATGCTTACTTCTATATCGTTATTAAGCTATCTTTAAGGACATCAAGTATAGTAGAGCCCAGTGTCTGTTAGATAACTTGTTACTGATATTTGAGACAGCAGTGAGAGTCTCCCATCCCACCTGCAGTACACAGAATTGCATGGAAGTGAAGGAAATGGACCAGAGTTAAGTTAGGTTAAGTTGCCTTAAAACTTTAACTGGTATGTTATCCAGGCAGACCATAGTGAGATTAAAAAATAATCTGAGTTGTGTTTCTCTACACCCAGAGGTCAGTAGAGATTTTTGTTTCTTTAAGCCCTCCATCTAGTTTTTAAGAGTGTAGATGGAGAATTTTTAAAAAAATCAGAATTAAATATTATTTTAGGTACTATAATATAATGAAAAGCATGAATTTTTCAAAATCTCTTTAGCTGGGCATAGTGGTGCACACCCTGTAGTCTCAGCTACTTAGGAGGCTGAGGTGTCAGGATCAGTTAAACCCAGGAGTATGAGGTTATAGTAAGCTATGATGGTGCCACTGCACTCCAGCCTAGGTGACTGAGTGAGACCTTGCCTCAAAAAAAATCTTCCTGGATTTGAGAAACATTATACTTTTATCCTTGAAGCTTGTTTAATACTAAACGTCAATGGGTATTTTTTTTTGGGGGGGGGCGGGGCTAGTGTACTATTGTAATTACATTTTGCTTTAACGTTTTGCAGAATCCATGCTGTCCTTAAGAGGGTTTTTTGTTGAGTATCATTTGGGTATTTTGAGGTTCTGATGAAACATTGATAGAGATATCCCTAACATTCTTACAAAACAATCTCCATTGTGTAGGACTAAATATTTTAGTGCATATAAAACACACGTGGCAAATGATGATGTTACAGTAATCAACAAAACAGAAATGATGAGTTAAATTTATGTTTGGGTTCATTAGATGTGAAGACATGGTAGATGTGCGAAGGTTAAAGATGCTTCAGATGGTGCAGTTGTTTAAATGTGAAGAAGATGCTGCCCAGGTAAGGACCAGTCAGCTATATTAGATAGTTAACTTTTCTTAGAAGATTGATTTCATTAAACTACAAACAAAAGTGTACTTTTCATGGTTCTAAAAAAGTAAATTCTTGAAGTCAGATTCTAGTTTATCCTATTGAAGAATAAACTTTGGTATTCCCAGCTAGTTTATTGATCTTATTTAACTTAATCTTCTCAATGAAATCCTCTATTGAGCTAGAGATTGGGATCATTTATTATTTATTATTGTTGATTAGGTTGTCAGTTACATCCAGGATAAAATCTGGTGCAGCTCATTGCATTTTAGCCTGCAAGAGAATTTTCAATACCATATAAACAATTTGGTATCTTTTGTCGTTATTATCAGAGAACATCATTTCAGTTTGATTTAGAGAAAATTTATGATTTTATGTAGTAACACAAATCTGTAATGCAATCCTGATGGATCTGTATACAGAAATACATGAACTTATTATGTGATATTAATTTTAAAAGAATGCTTTTCTTTACTATGTCTTGCCTTCAGATTTAAAGAATTTTGAGGAGAAGAGGTCATTAATTCATGTAGTTTGTCATTGAATTAAATAAGCTTTTAAGACTAGGTTATAATTAACGGATTCATTAATCACATCATAGTAATCTCTATGTAAATAGGACATTTTGGTACAGTAAGTAAAGAGTTCTGAATCCCGCTTCATTGTTATGTCTTTTTGTTTAGGCAGTAGAATGGCTAAGTGAACTCCTGGATGCTCTGCTTAAGACCCACATCAGATTGGGTGATGATGCTCAAGAAACGAAAGTTTTGCTGGAAAAGCATAGAAAATTTGTTGATGTTGCACAGGTGCAAAACTGGTTATCTTCCTTTTCCACAAGCTCAGTGTTTGAATAGCTTTCTGCATGATTATAATGTAACTTTACCCTCCAAGTCCAAGAAGGTTAGTTTTGTTATTCCAGAAGTGTCACAGAATTAAGAAAATGTCAGCTGGTACATCAAAACTATCCTGCATAAACTTGAGAGGGTTTATGTTTCCTTGAATACAGGTTCTACATGGTCCCTCTGAATTATGTTCTATATTATGGCATTTTTAAGGCAATCCAGCTGTTCATTCATATTAATAGAATGAACTTATTTACTCAGATTAACAAAATGAACTTACTGATATTAAAAGAAGTGAATAGGAAATGGACGTTAATATCAGTAAATAAGAAACCTCACTTGTTGCATCTTACTAGTGTTGGCATAATAATACGGAGCTTTTTTGTGATGAAAAGTATCTTTTTTTTTTTTTTTTTTTTGAGTCAGAGTCCCACTGTGTCACCCAGGATGGAGTGTAATGGTGTGATCTCAGCTCACTACAACCTCTGCCTCCCAACATCAAACAATTCTCGTGTTTCATCCTCCCCTCTGAGTAGATAGGATTACAGGCACCTGCCATCACACCCAGCTAAGTTTTGTATTTTTAGTTGAGATGGGGTTTCACCATGTTGGTCAAGCTAGTCTCGAACTCCTGACCTCAAGTGGTCCAACCACCTTGGCCTCCCTAAATGCTAGTATTATAGAGGTGAGCCACTGCACCTGGCTGATAAGTATCTTAATTTATTTTTCCTAATAAGTTTACATTGTAACAGGTGTAGTTTCCTATATGGATTATGAAGTGCCTAATTTCACCTACTTTTGAAAGTAGTTTAATTCATAAGCAGACATTCTTTCTAGCCAGTGAAATTTAGCAGACTGAGATGGGGGAAACAGAATAAAGTGGGGAAATCTAACAGAAAGAAACTTTCTAATTAAAAATTAAATTTTTTTTCAAGATAAGGCCTTGCTCTGTCACCCAGGATATAATGTGGTAGCATAGTTATAGCTCACTGCATCCTCAAACTTCTGGGCTCAAGTGATCCTCCTGCCTCAGCCTCCAAAGTAGCTGGGACTACAGGCAAGTGTGGCCACACTCAGCTAATTTTTTTCATTTTTTTAGAGACAGGATCTTGCTATGTTGGCTAGGCTGGTATTGAACTCTTAGCTTCAAGTGATCCTCCCTCCTTAGCCTCCCAAAGTGCTGGGATTACAGGCAAGAGCCATTGTGCCGGGCCAGGAAACTTACTATAAACTAACTAAAAACTTACTATAACTAAAATATTGCTTCCCCTTTATTATTTATACACAGCTAATTTGTAGTAATAAGTACCACTAGATTTATTCAGTTATTGATTTCTAGTAGTGTCACTTAATTGCAATGACAGTCTTCCTGCACTTTCCCTATCCTTCTCTTAAGAATTCTTTTATTATAATTTCATGTTTACTTTTCTTTTTTAGAGCACTTATGACTACGGCAGGCAGTTGCTACAGGCTACAGTTGTGTTATGCCAATCTTTGCGCTGTACTTCGCGATCATCTGGGGATACACTTCCTCGGTTGAACAGAGTATGGAAACAATTTACAATAGCATCTGAAGAGAGAGTACATAGGTTGGAAATGGCTATTGCATTTCACTCAAATGCTGAAAAGGTTTGCTTTTTTTTTAATGTATTCTCAGTGGTATTTATTATAAGTGTTTAAAAATGTTAATTTTAGTAATGTAATTACATAACTAATCTATTTTTCAGTATTTATATTAGTTCTATTGTTACAGTTTGTTTAGTTACAATATATTGCCTCAGAGAGTTCAAATGCAATTTTCTTAATCCTTACCAGTGCTGGAGAGCCGTGATTGGAGAAATCCAGAACCCTGTGGTAGTCTTCTCTTTACACTGCTTCTCTCCTGAGCAAGCCTGGTGTCCAGAATTTGCCCTCTGTTATTTGAAGTATCATGAGTTCAATCTCTTCCATTATGCCAGGAAGGGAAAATTTTTGCTGTGGCAACTGCTGTTTATTGTCACACATTTTTAAAAAGGCACCTTGTGATTTTATAATTTAAGTAGAGACATTAAAAAAAAAAGAATAAGGACAAAAGTAAAATGCTTTTTTATATATGTTGTTTAAAGATTTATTCTAGAATTTGTTATAATGAATTAAGTTCATTAATTCCAAAAACAAAAGATAAAATATGCAGTGTTATTTGGACAAATTTTCAATAGAACCTTTTTCTTACTCTTCATAGTAAGAATTTATTGTACCCAAGCCTTACATACCCAAAAGGAACTAATTTTGTTTTGATCTCTTACAATAAAAGATTATATAGAGAGAATGTTCAATACACTTCAACGTATTAGCAAACCTAACTTGATGTGTAGAACAGATGTTGCAAGGAACCTCAGGAATTAAACAGTTTCTTTCTGAATTATGAAGTACATCTGTTGGGAAGTGTCATAGTTAACTCATTGTCAGCTGGTCATTGAACTCCATAGATCAATTTTTGATTAACATAGGCCTAATTAAGAAAAATAAAAGTATACAAAATCCTATAACTTGTTTATCCATTGATTGTTAAAATGAGAATTTTTTTTATTATGAGGTATACTATTAACATAGAAAACAAAAGACCACAAGTATCCTGTGCAGTGAGATATCACAAAGTGAGCAAACCTGTGTAATCAGTGTACTGTTCAAAAAAAAAAAAACAGAACATTACCATCACCCAAAAGCTCCCTGCCCCCTCTTGTAGTCACAGTACTGCTTCCCCCACTACCTCACTGTCAAACGGTGACCACTGGCCCAATGTCTAGCACCACTGATAACTTTTTAGAATATTACTTTTTAAATTGCATTTTAGGTTTTGGGTTACATGTGAAGAACATTTAAGATTGTTGCATAGGTACACACATGGCAGTGTGATTTGCCACCTTCCTCCCCATCACCGATATCTGGCATTTCTCCCCATGCTATCTCTTCCCAACTCCCCACCCCCCGCTGTCCCTCCCATTTCCCCCTTACAGACCCCAGTGTGTGATGCTCCCCTCCCTGTGTCCAAGTGTTCTCATTGTTCAACACCCACCTATGAGGGAGAACATGCAGTGTTTGATTTTCGATTCTTGTGTCAGTTTGCTGAGAATGATGGTTTCCAGGTTCATCCATGTCCCTACAAAGGACACAAACTCATCGTTTTTGATGGCTGCATAGTATTCCATGGTATATATGTGCCACATTTTCTCTGTCCAGTCTATCATCATTGGGCATTTGGGTTGGTTCCAGGTCTTTGCTATTATTGTAAACAGTGCTGCAGTGAACATTCGTATGCATGTGTCCTTATAGAATGATTTATAATCCTTTGGATATATACCCTGTAATGGAATTGCTGGGTCAAATGGAATTTCTATTTCTAGGTCCTTGAGGAATCGTCACACTGCCTTCCACAGTGGTTGAACTAATTTGCACTCCCACCAACAGTGTAAAATGTTCCTATTTCTCCACATTCTCTCCAGCATCTGTTGTCTCCAGATTTTTTAATGATCGCCATTCTAACTGGTGTGAGATGGTATCTCAATGTAGTTTTGATTTGCATTTCTCTAATGACCAGTGATGATGAGCATTTTTTCATATGTTTGTTGGCCTCATGTATGCCTTCTTTTGTAAAGTGTCTGCTAATACCCTTCATGCACTTTAGAATGGGATTTTTCTTGTAAACCTGTTTTAGTTCTTTGCAGATTCTGGATATTAGCCCTTTGTGAGATGGGTAGATTGCAAAAATTTTTTCCCATTCTGTTGGTTGCTCATTCAATCTAATGACTGTTTCTTTTGCTGTGGAGAAGCTGTAGAGTTTGCTTAGGTCCCATTTGTCTATTTTGGCTTTTGTTGCCAAGGCTTTCAGTGTTTTGGTCATGAAGTCCTTGCCTATGCCTATGTCCTGAATGGTTTTGCGTAGATTTTCTTCTGGGTTTTTTATGTCACTAGGTCTTATGTTTAAGTCTTTATTCCATCAGGAGTTAATTTTAGTGTAAAGTGTCAGGAAGAGGTCCAGTTTTTTGCTTTCTGCACATGGCTAGCCAGTTTTCCCAACACCATTTATTAAACAGGGACTCCTTTCCCCATTGCTTGTTTTTGTCAGGTTTGTCAAAGATCAAATGGTTGTAGATGTGTGGTGTTGCCTTCGAGGCCTCTGTTCTGTTCCATGGGTCTATATCTCTGTTTTGGTACCTGTACCATGCTCTTTTCACTGCTGTAGCCTTGTATTATAGTTTGAAGTCCAGTAGTATGATGCCTCCAGCTTTGTTCTTTTTGCTTAGAATTGACTTGGCTATGTGGGCTCTGTTTTGGTTCCATATGAAGTTTAAGGTGTTTTTTTCCAGTTCTGTGAAGAAGGTCATTGGTAGCTTGATTGGGATAGCATTAAATCTGTAAATTACTTGTGGGCAGTGTGGCCATTTTCACAATATTGATTCTTCCTAACCACGAGCATGAGCATGGAATGTTTCTCCATCTGTTTGTGTCCTCTCTTATTTCCTTGAGCACTGGTTTATAGTTCTCCTTGAAGAGGTCTTTTATGTTCCCTGTCTTGTTGTATTCCTAGATATTTTATTCTCTTTGTAGCAATTGTGAATGGCAGTTCGTTCTTTATTTGGCTCTCTTTAAGTCTGTTATTGGTGTATAGGAATAGTTTTGATTTTTGCACATTGATTTTTATACTGAGACTTTGCTGTAGTTGCTTATCAGTTTTAGGAGATTTTCGGCTGAGACGATGGGGTCTTCTAAATATACAATCATGTCATCTGCAAATAGAGATAGTTTAACTTCCTCCTTGCCTATTTGAATACCCATTATTTCTTTTCCTTGCCAGATTGCTCTGGCTAGAACTTCCAATACTATATTGAATAGGAGTGGTGAGAGAGGGCATCCTTGTCTAGTGCCAGATTTCCGAGAGAATGCTTCAAGTTTTTGGCCATTCACTATGATATTGGCTGTTGGTTTGTTGTAAATAGCTTTTATTTTTTTCAGATATGTTCCATCAATACCTAGTTTATTGAGAGTTTTTAGCATAAAGGGCTGTTGAATTTTGTCAAAGGCCTTCTCTGCATCAATTGAGATAATCATGTGGTTTTTGTCTTTGGTTCTGTTTATGGGGTGGATTACGTTTTTACGACTTACGTATGTTGAACCAGCCTGCATCCCCGGAATGAAGTCTACTTGCTCATGGTGGATAAGCTTTTTGATGTGCTGTTGCAGTCGAATTGCCAGTATTTTATTGAAGGTTTTTGCATCTGTGTTCATCATGGATATTGTCCTAAAGTTTTCTTTTCTTGCTGAGTCTCCGCCGGGTTTTGGTATTAGGATGATGTTGGTCTCATAAAATGATTTGGGAAGGATTCCCTCTTTTTGGGTTGTTTGGAATAGTTTTAGAAGGAATGGTACCAGCGCCTCTTTGTACGTCTGGTAGAATTTGGCTGTGAACCCGTCTGGACCTGGGCTTTTTTTGGGTAGTAGGCTGTTAATTGCTGCCTCAAATTCTGCCCTTGTTATTGGTCTATTCAGGGTTTTGACTTCTTCCTGGTTTAGGCTTGGGAGGATGCAAGTGTCCAGGAATTTATCCATTTCTTCCAGGTTTACTGGTTTATGTGCATAGAGTTGTTTGTAATAATCTTTGATGAGGTTGGCATTTGTGTGGAATCTGTGATTATATCCCCTTTATCGTTTTTTATTGCATCTATTTGATTATTCCCTCTTTTTTATTAATCTGCCTAGTGGTCTATTTTGTTCATCTTTTTGAAAAACCAGCTCCTGGATTTATTGATTTTTTTTGAAGGTTTTTTTTGTGTCTCTATCTCCTTCAGTTCTGCTTTGATCTTAGTCATTTCTTGTCTTCTGCAAGGTTTTGAGTTTTTTTTATCTTGCTCCTCTAGCTCTTTCAATTTTGACTATAGGGTGTCGATTTTAGATATTTCCTTGCTTCTCATGTGGACATTTATTGCTATGTATTTTCCTCTAGAGACTGCTTTAAATGTGTCTCAGAGATTCTGGTATGTTGTGTCTTCATTCTCGTTGGTTTCGAAGAACAACTTTATTTCTGCCTTCATTTCATTGTTTAGTCATCATTCAAGAGCTAATTGTTCAGTTTCCATGAAGCTGTGTCGTTCTGAGTTAGTTTCTGCATTCTGAGTTCTAACTTGATTGCACTGTGGTCTGAGAGAATGTTATGATTTCTGTTCTTTTGCATTTGCTGAGGAGTGATTTCCTTCCAATTATGTGGTCAGTTTTAGAGTAGGTATGATGTCGTGCTGAGAAGAATGTATATTCTGTGGATTTGGGGTGGAGAGTTCTGTAAATGTCTATTAGGTTTGCTTGGTCCTGGTTCGAGTTCAAGTTCTGGGTATCCTTAATTTTCTGTCTCATTGATCTGCCTAATATTGACAATGGGGTATTAAAGTATCCCACTATTATTGTGTGGGAGCCTAAGTCTCTTTGTAAGTCATTAAGAACTTGCTTTATGTATCTGGGTGCTCCTGTATTGGGTGGTATGTATTTAGGATCGTTAGCTCTTCTTGTAGCATGGACCCTTTTAATCCATTATGTCCTTCTTTGTCTCTTTTGATCTTTGTTGGTTTAAAGTCTATTTTATCAGAGACAAGAATTGCAACTCCTGCTTTTTCTTGCTCTCCATTTGCTTGGTAAGTCTTCCTCCTTCCCTTTATTTTGAACCTTTGTGTATCCTTGCATGTGAGATGGGTTTCCTGGATACAGCACACAGACGGGTTTTGACTTTTTATCCAGTTTGCCAGTCTGTGTCTTTTGATTGGGGTGTGTGGCCCATTTACATTGAGGGTTAATATTGTTATGTGTGAATTTGTTCCTGCCATATTGATGCTAGCTGCCTGTTTTGCCCATTAGTTGATGCAATTTCTTCATTATGTTGATACTCTTTACCATTTGGAATGTTTTTGGAGTGGCTGGTACTGGTTGTTCCTTTCTATGTTTAGTACTTCTTTCAGGAGCTGTTGTAAAACAGGCCTAGTGGTGATGAAATCTCTGAATATTTGTTTGTTCATAAAGGATTTTATTTCTCCTTCACTTATGAAGCTTAGTTTGGCTGGTTATGAAATTCTGGGATGAAAGTTCTTTTCTTTCTGGATGTGGAATATTGGCCCCCACTCTCTTCTGTCTTGTAGGGTTTCTGCTGAGAGATGTGCTGTGAGTCTGATGGGCTTCCCTTTGTGGATAACCCGACTTTCTCTCTGGCTGCCCTTAGCATTTTTTCTTTCATTTCAACCCTGGTGAACTGACGATTATGTGCCTTGTGGTTGCTCTCCTTGAGGAATATCATGGTGGTGGTCTCTGTATTTCTTGTACTTGAATATTGGCCTACCTTGCTAGGTTGAGGAAGTTCTCCTGGATAATATCCTGAAGAGTATTTTCCAGCTTGGATTCATTCTCTTCATCACATTCAGTTACACCTATTAAACATAGATTATGTCTTTTCACACAGTCCCATATTTCTTGGAGACTTTATTCATTCCTTTTTACCCTTTTTTCTCTAATCTTGCCTTCTCATTTTATTTCTTTGAGTTGATCTTCGACCTCTAATATCCTTTCTTCTGCTTGGTCATTTCGGCTGTTGAAACTTGTGTATGCTTCACGAAGTTCTCATGTACTGTTTTTCAGCTCCATCAATTCTCTTAATATTCCTCTCTAAGCGGTTTATTCTCATTAGCATTTAGTCAAATCTTTTTTCAAGGTTCTTAGTTTCTTTGTATTGGGTTAGAACAGGTTCTTTTAGCTCAGAGAAGTTTCTTATTACCCACTTTCTGAAACCTGTTTCTGTCAATTCATCACACTCATTCTCCATCCAGCCCTGTTCCCTTGCTGGTGAGGAGTTGTGATGAGGAGAGGTGTTCTGGTTTCGGGTGTTTTCATCCTTTTTGTACTGGTTTCTTCCCATCTTTGTGGATTTATCCACCTGTTGTCTTTGTAATGGTTGACTTTCAGATTGGGTTTCAGGGTGGACATCCAGTTTGTTGATGAGTAAGTTATTTCTTTCTGGTTTTTTTTTTTAGTTTTCCTTCTAACAGGCCCCTCTGCTATAGGACTGCTGAGGTCCACTCCAGGCCCTGCTTGCCTGGGGATCACCTGCAGTGGCTGCACAACAGTAAGCATTGCTGCCAGTTTCTTCTTCTGCTATCTTAGTCCCAGAAGGATACCTGCCAGATGTCAGTCTTAGCTCTCCTTAATGAGGTGACTCTTTGGATATACGGGGGTCAAGGAGCTGCTTGAGGAGACAGACTGTCCTTTATAGGAGCTCAAGTGCTGAGCTGTGACCTCCGTTGTTCATTCAGAGCTGCTGGGCAGGTACATTTAAAAGTCTGCTGTAGCATAATTCATAAATGCCTCTTTTTGTTCCCCAGGTGCTCTGTCCCAGGGAGTTAGGGCTTTATTTATACGTTTCTGTCATGCTGCTGCCTTTTTTCATGGCTGCCCTGCCCAGCGAGGAGGCAGCCTAGTCACAGTCTGCCTGCAGAGGCTTTGCTGAGCTGCTATGGGCTTCGCCCAGCTGCCATGTGAACTTCCCTGAAGTCCTGTTTATACAGGGATAGTTAGAACTGCCTTGGCAGTGGCAGCCCACCTCTGTAAAGGCAGACTCTCTCTGTAATTGCGGGCTGCCTCAGCAATGGCATACTACCTCGGTAGTGGTGGACAGCCTTGGTAATGGCGGACGCCGCTTCCCCACGCAGCTGGACCGTCCCAGGTTCAGCTGTACTTGCTGTGAAACTCTCATTCCAGAGCGTTACAGATTGCTTTTTTTTGTGTGGGGGTGGGAGCAGCTGAGCCTGATCACCTGGCTCCCTGCCTCAGAGCCCCTTTTATTTTTTCAGTTGAATGGGTGACTCCCAGGTGTTCCAGTCGCCTGTGGAAAAGGTGCTGGGATCTGTGTGATTTCCCATGCGGTGACCCACTGCGCTGGCTGAAACAGCCACGCTGAGATTCATGGTACTTTTTTGCCCAGGAATCTCCTGGCCTGGCTCCCTGTTTCAGGTCCCCCTTTTTATCAGTTGAATGGGTGACTCTGTCTCCTAGGAGCTCCAATCACCAGCTAAAATGGCTCCTCGACCCATGTATTTTGTGCGGAGACCAGCTGTGCTGGTGACCCGTAGGGTTCCTCTGCCTGACAATCTCCTGGTCTGTGGGCAATAAAAATTCGTCTGGAAATGCAGCGTCCACTCACACTCCACTCTTTCCCTGGGAGCTCCAATCCTGAGCTGCTCCTAATCGGCCAGCTTAGCTCCGCCTCCTAGAATGCTACTTTTAACTCCCTTTTTATCAGTCATATAAGAACGAATAGAGTTGAAAGGGTTTTTTAACAGAAATTTGTTTCCATATTTTTCTGTTACCTAAACTTTGGTTTTAATAAATACGATTTAAATTTGATTTACTTAGGTTGTGCAAAGATAAGTAAATCAAGCATAAACAAAATAAATTAAGCATAAATATAAATAACCACAACTGTAAGCAAATTGTATAATGATTAGAAAAATATCTAAATCTTGAGTTTTAAAATACAAAATTGTCTGTTCATGAGTAATGCTGAAGTAAACATAATTGGATGACATAAAGTGTAATGCAAAAAAAAGTTGTCATAATGAATACTTTTTCTTCTGAAATTTAGCAATTTTTTCATGCAGTTTAATTTAATTTATAATGTTTAAGGTGAAAATAAAGAACAGTATCTCATAAGGATTATAGAGATTCTCATATTTGAATTGTAACCTAATCATTTACATCAGTTAACTCAAGCCAGCAGATCGGTTTTTAAATATTATCATCTAGCTAAGTTGTCACATCAATTACATGTTTGTACTCTGTTGTTTTTTATTTATAATATTTTTTCATTTGTAATATCTTTATGTTCTTTGAGAACAGAGACTATACCTCCCCTTCACCTTCCAGGCTGCTAAATAAACATAAAGTGAACTTATTTTTCAAATAGTAGTCTAGTATTTTCTTTCTTGGAAATCACCATATTGTTAGTAGGAATTATGTTATTTCATTTTGTTGTTTGAATTTCTTGAGCATTTAGCAATAATAGATCAATCTTATATCATGTACTTGAAGATGTTAAAAACAAAAAATGCCTTTATGTGAGCTTGATTCCATTTCTGTGTCTTTTTTTTTTTTCCCCCTTTGGATTCTCTGAAACTGCAGACCTTTCTGTATCTCTTGATTGATATTGCTCTTTTATTTGTTGCAGATTTTGCAGGACTGTCCAGAAGAGCCTGAAGCTATTAATGATGAGGAGCAGTTTGATGAAATTGAAGCAGTTGGGAAATCACTTTTGGATAGATTAACTGTTCCTGTAGTTTATCCTGATGGGTATGGATCATGTTCTTATCATTTTATTTTTTATTGGTGTGGTCTTAAAGTGAAATCATTAAAAGAGGAAATCTGTTCTTTAAAAAGCTAAGTAAATTAGGTTTGGTCCACATCTTTAACTCCTACAATAAATTAGTTTAAAATGAAAAATCCACACAGCTCTTGGCCACAGTGATAGTACTTGCTGACATCAGATGTGTTGCTCCTTGACAGCTTGTTGTAGAATGATCATTGACCAGATTAAGACACTGGGTTCTAGATTTGGCTATAATGGTAGGGAGTAGTGTGACTTGGGGCTTCATTCAGGAAAAGGAAGATGGGACAAGGGACTAATGTTTAGTGAGTTCATAATATATGCCAAGTACCAAGTGAAACACTTTACCTTCGTTACTTTTGACCAAAGAGGACCAGACCAGTATGATTATTCCTGATTTACAAATGAAGAAACTGAGGCCCAGAGAGATTAAGTAAGGCTCTCAGGATTTCACAGCTTCTAAGTGATAGAGTAAGGATACAATCTCAGGTCTGTCTGGCTCCAAACCCATTCTTTTTGCACTGAGCTATATGGCATTCTAACTTCTTTATGTGTGAAGGGATGGAGTCCTGATTTTCTTACATCTTTCCATGTCAAATAATAGTCAATTATAAAAATATGAAATAATCTGATGCAAAATAAATGGACCAGGAAAAAAATCAGGAGGAGCTTTATCCTTGGTGATTTAGACCTAATTCTTAGTGAAAATAATTTAGAGATAATCCAGAGAATATTTAATTCAAATGATAAGAATAACCAAACCATTAACTAAAAATGTAAGTATCCTTAACATTGTGGTATAGTGTGATGAGTGCATCTGTGGACGCTGGAGCCAGCGCTCCCAGCTCCACCACTTACTATAACACCTTGGGCAAGCCACTTAACCTCTTTGTGCCTCAACTCCCTCATCTAAAAACACTGATGTAACACTCATACCTCCTCAGGTTATGGGGGTGGGCAAATTACCTGAGCTAAATAATTATACAGTACTTAAAACAGATCTGACTCATAATAAGCACTGCTACTACTGTGCCATGATCTTGTAGTGATTATTTGGGATAGATATTGAAAAGATGGCATTTTATTCCCTTGAAAGAATATTATTCATAGTCTGTATTTAAGTTTAGGCATGGCTTGAGATTACATAAACAATCAGAAGTACCCTACAGTCACCTAAAGTCGTATTGTACATCTCCAATAAAAGAGACAAAATTCAACTAGTAACAAAATGATAGGCATGCTTCTTATAGTTCCAGTTCAGGATCCCTTACCCTCCCTGATTCCGACATTTCACAGCCAGTTGTCACACAGTGTCCTCTTCTACCCAGGTTAGCATAGGAGCACCTCTCCCTGGTTTGCTTGCTTCAGCTTGTCGTCTGTGTTTCACAAACAGCCCATAGGTCATTTCCTAATCTTTTTAAGATAAAAGAATGATAGTACTTTATATTCAAAGTTCACAAATACTAACCTTTAATATTTTGGAATTGCCATTTTATTCCATTTTATATTCATGTTAAAATTTATGTATATCTCTTTTGGATATTTTGCTAAATTAAATATTATGCAAAGTTGTGTATAATGTTCTCCATAATTGCTAATATGATGGTAATCTGTGTCATCTAAAGTTTGTTTGGCAGGTTATACAGATTTGTCTTTTATACCATCTCCTGGTAAAATAAGAGATTGATGATCTCTCTGGATTCACTGCACGAAGACCTAGTGTCAAATTCTGGTTTTTCCCTGTGTGACCTTGCTTACATCATTTAACTTCCTAGGCTCTACATTTCTGATCTAAAAAATAAAGAGATTAACCTGGAATTTCTAATGTTGGCACAGCAGCTGGGCAGAGCTCATAGCAGCTCAGCAATGCCTCTGCTGGCAGACTGTGACTAGCTACCACCTTGCTGGGCAGGACATCTCTGAAAAAGGCAGCAGCATGTCAGGAACTTATAAATAAAGCCCACCTTCCCAGAGCAGAGCACCTGGGAAAAAAAAGTGGTTATGAGTTCCACTGCAAGAGACTTAAAACGTACCTGCCCAGCAGCTTTTGACAGAAAAATGGAGCCACAGCTCCACACTAGAGCTTTTATAAGGGATAGACTGTCTCCTCAAGCAGTTCCCCAACCCCGTATATCCAAAGAGACACCTCATAAAGGAGAGCTCAGGCTGACATCTGGCAGGCATCCTACTGGGACAAAGATAACAGAAGAAGCAGCTGGCAGCAACCCTTACTGTTCTGCAGCCACTGCAGGTGATCCCCAGGCAAGCAGGGCCTGGAATGGACCTCAGCAGTCCTACAACAGAGGGGCCTGTTAGAAGGAAAACTAAAAAACAGAAAGAAATAACTTCATCATCAACAAAAAGGACATCCACACAGAGACTCCATCCAAAAGTCACCAACTACAAAGACCACAGGTAGCTAAATCCACAAAGATGGGAAGAAACCAGTGCAAAAAGGATGAAAACACCTGAAACCAGAACGCCTCTCCTCCTCCAAGGGATCACAACTCCTCACCAGCAAGGGAACAAGGTTGGATGGAGAATGAGTGTGATGAATTGACACAGGCTTCAGAAAGTGGGTAATAAGAAACTTGTCTGAGCTAAAAGAACATGTTCTAACCCAAAGCAAAGAAACTAACAACCTTGAAAAAAGGTTTGACGAAATGCTAACAAGAATAAACAGCTTAGAGAAAAATATGTTAATTGATGGAGGTGAAAAACACAACACGAGAACTTCACAAAGCATACACGAGTTTCAGTAGTTGAATCAACAAAGCAGAAGAAAGGATATCAGAGATTGAAGATCAACTCAAAGAAATAAAACAAGAAGGCAAGATCACAGAAAAAAGAGTGAAAAGAAATGAACAAAGACTCCAAGAAATACAGGACTATGTGAAAAGAACTATCTACATTTATAGGTGTACCCAAATGTGATGGAGAGAATGAATCCAAGCTGGAAAACACTCTTCAGGATACTATCCAGGAGAACTTCCGCAACCTAGGAAGGCACGCCAATATTCAAGTCCAGGAAATACAGAGAACACCACAAAGGTATTCCTCAAGAAGAGCAACCCCAAGGCACATAATCGTCAGATTCACCAGGGTTGAAATGAAGAAAAATGCTAAGGGCAGCCAGAGAGAAAGGTTGAGTTACCCACAAAGGGAAGCCCATCAGACATAGAGTGGAGCTCTCGACAGAAACCCTGCAAGCCAGAATAGAATGGTGGCCAGTATTCAACATCCTTAAAGAAAAGAACTTTCAACCTAGAATGTCATATGCAGCCAAAGTAAGCTTCGTAAGTGAAGCAGAAATAAAATCCTTTATGAACAAGCAATTGCTCAGAGATTTCATCACCACTAGGCCTGCCTTAACAAGAGCTCCTGAAAGAAGCACTAAACATAGAAAGGAACAACCAGTACCAGCCACTCCAAAAATGTACCAAATGGTAATAAACATCAACACAGTGAAGAAACTTCATCAACTAACAGGCAAAACAACCAGCTAGCTTCGAAATGGCAGGATCAAATTCACACATAAGAGTATTAGCCTTAAATGTAAATGAGCTAAATGCCCCAATCAAAAGACACAGACAGGCAAATTGGATAAGAAGTCAAAACCCATTGGTGTGCTGTATCCAGGAAACCCATCTCATATGCAAGGATACACATAGGCTCAAAATAAAGGGATGGAGGAAGATTTACCAAGCAATTGGAAAGTGAAAAAAAAAGTAAGAGTTGCAATCCTAAGTCTCTGATAAAATAGACTTTAAACGAACAAAGATCAAAAGAGACAAAGAAGGGACATTACATAATGGTAAAAGGATCATTGCCACAAGAAGAGCTAACGATCCTAAATATATATGCACCCAATATAGGAGCACTCAGATTAAAAAAAAAAAAAGTAACTGGCTTTATGTAAGGCACAGTCTTGCTCTGTAGCCAGGCACCAGGCTGGAGTGCAGTGGCGTGCTCTCGGCTCACGGCAACCTCCGCTTTCCGTGTTCAAGCAATTCTCTTACCTCAGCCTCCCGAGTAGCTGGGACTACAGGCGCATGCCACCATGCCCAGCTAATTTTTGTATTTTTAATAGAGACGGGGTTTCACCATGTTGGCCAGGATGGTCTCAATATCTTGACCTTGTGATCCGCCCGCCTCGGCCTCACAAAGTGCTGGGATTACAGGCGTGAGACACCACGCCTGGCCTATAAAGCAAGTTCTTAATGACCAACAAAGAGATTTAGACTCCCACACAATAATAGTTGGAGACTTTAACACTCCATTGTCAATATTAGACAGATCAAGATGGAAAATTAACAAGGATATCCAGGACTTGAATGCAGATCTAGACCAAGCAAACCTAATAGACATTTACAGAACTCTCCACCCCAAATCCACAGAATATGCATTCTTCTCAGCACCGCATCACACCTACTCTAAATTGACCGCATAATTGGAAGGAAACCAATCCTCAGCAAATTCAAGAGAATGGAAATCATAACAGTCTCTCAGACCACAAATTTGAACTCAGGATTCAGAATCTAAATCAGAACCACACAACTTCATGGAAACTGAACAACTGGCTCTTGATTGTTGACTGGATAAATAATGAAATGAGGGCAGAAATAAAGATGTTCCTCAAAACCAAGGAGAACGAAGACACAATGTATCGGAATCTCTGGGACACATTTAAAGCAGTGTCTAGAGGGAAATTTATAGCAATAAATGCCCACATGAGAAGCAAGAAAAGACCTAAAACTGACACCCTATTATCAAAATTAAAAGAGCTAGAGGACAAGATCAAAAAACTCAAAAGCTAGCAGAAGAAGAAATAATTAAGATTAGAGCAGAACTGAAGGAGATAGAGACACAAAAAACCCTTCAAAAAAAACTAATAAATCCAGGAGATGGTTTTTTGAAAAGATCAACAAAATAGACAGAACACAACCAGATTAAAAAAAGAAAAGAGAGAAGCAAATGGATGCAATGAAAAATGATAAGGGGCTATCACTGCCATTTCCACAGAAATACAAACTACCATCAGAGGTCATGACAAACAGCTCTATGCACATAAACCAGTAAACCTGAAAGAAATGGATGAATTCCTGGACACTTGCATCCTCCCAAGCCTAAACCAGGAAGAAGTCAAAACCCTGAATAGACCAATAACAAGGGCTGAAGTTGAGGCAGCAATTAATAGCCTACCAACCAAAAAGTCCAGGTCCAGATGGGTTCACAGCCAAATTCTACTAGACTTACAAAAAGGAGCTGGTACCATTCCTTCTGAAACTATTCCAAACAATCCAAAAAGAGGGAATCCTTCCCAAATCATTTTATGAGACAAACATCATCCTGATCCCAAAACCCAGCAGAGACTCAACAAGAAAAGAAAACTTCAGGCCAATATCCATTATTAACAGATGGAAAAATCTTCAATAAAATACTGGCAAACTGATTGCAGCAGCACATCAAAAAGCTTATCCATCACAATCAGGCAGGCTTCATCCTGGGGATGCAAGGCTGGTTCAACATATGCAAGTCTATAAACGTAATCCACCACACAAACAGAACCAAAGACAAAAACCACATGATTATTTCAATAGATGCAGAGAAGGCCTTCAACAGAATTCAACAGCCCTTTATGCTAAAAATTCTCAATAAACCAGGTATCGATAGAACGTTATCTCAAAATAATAAAAGCTATTTACAACTACAGCCAATAGCGTAGTGAATGGGCAAAAACTGGAAGCATTCCCTCTGAAATCTGGCACTAGACAAGGATGCCCTCTCTCACCACTCCTATTCAATATAGTACTGGAAGTTCTAGCCAGAACAATCAGGCAAGAAAAAGAAATAAAGGTTATTCAATTAGGAAAGGAGGAAGTCAAATTGTCTCTGTTTGCAGATGACATGATTGTATATTTAGAAGACCCTATCGTCTCAGCCCAAAATCTCTGGAAACTCTTAGCAAATTCAGCAGAGTCTCAGGATACAAAATCAATGTGCAGAAATCAGAAGCATTCCTATACACCAATAACAGACTTAAAGAGAACCAAATCAAGAATGAACTGCCATTCACAATTGCTACAAAGAGAATAAAGTACCTAGGAATACAACAGGATGTAAAGAACCTCTTCAAAGATAACTACAAACCACTGCTCGAGGAAGTAAGAGTGGACACAAACGGAAAAGCATTCCATGCTCATGGTTAGGAAGAATCAATGTTGTGAAAATGGCCATACTGCCCAAAGTAATTTAGAGATTCATCGCTACCTATGACCCTCTTCACAGAACTGGAAAAAACCACCTTAAACTTCATATGGAACCAAAGAGAGCCCACACAGCCAAGTCAATTTTAAGCAAAAAGAACAAAGCTGAAGGCATCTTGCTACCTGACTTCAAACTATACTACAGGGCTACAGTAATCAAAACAGCATTGTACTGATATCAAAACAGAAATATAGACAAATGGAACAGAACAGAGGCCTCAGAGGCAATGCCACACATCTACAACCATCTGATCTTTGACAAACCTGACAAAAACAAGCAATGAGGAAAGCATTCCCTGTTTAATAAATGGTGTTGGGAAAACTGGCTAGCCATGTGCAGAAAGCAGAAACTAGACCCCTTCCTGACACCTTACACTAAAATTAACTCCAGATATATTAAAGACATAAACCTAAGACCTAATACGATAAAATCCCTAGAAGAAAACCTAGGCAAAACGATTCAAGGCATAGGTATACGCAAGGACTTCATGACTAAAACACCAAAAGCATTGGCAACAAAAACCAACATAGACAAATGGGATTTAATTAACCTCCAGAGTTTCTGCACAGCAAAAGAAACAATCAGAGTAAACCGGCAACCAACGGAATGGGAAAAAATTTTTGTAATCTACCCATCTGACGAATGGCTAATATCCAGAATCTACAAAGAACTAAAACAGATTTACAAAAAACAAACCAACCCATATGAAAGTGGGTGAAGGATATGAACACTTTACAAAAGAAGACATATATGAGGCCAACAAACATATGAAAAAATGCTCATCACTCTTTATAAATATATAAAGAAATCTTCCAGTTCTAAAAGTACTCTAATACAGTATTTGTGATTAGAATAAAATCAATGATTTTATCTGTTAATGTATCAAAACAATGTCATAACATTAAGAAGAATATTTATTTTGCTTGCCAGCTGTATAGAAAAGTGGTGTCCCCAGCCAGTAGCACTTAAGTACATGTACAGATTTTATGTTTGTATATGCTTCAGGACCCACATATTTCATTGTTCAGTTTGTTACTATTATCATAAGTACACATGATACAACTTTTATACCACTTACATATATATATATATATATATATATATATATATATATATATATATAAAATGTGATTTAAAAAATTTTTTTTTTCCTTCTGAATTTCCTGCTCAAAGATAAACAGTATGATCACAGATGAACTGATATGTACACATAGGCTATCTCATGTAGATTTTTTTATGGTAAATTTTTGCTTCTATTTGTATTCACTGCAGTTAATGGATTTGTATTAATCTGAGGTGTCTCTGTGTGTTTTGATTTTTAGAACCGAACAATATTTTGGGAGTCCAAGTGACATGGCTTCTACTGCAGAACACATCAGAGACAGGATGAAACTAGTTAGTCTCAAAAGGCAGCAGCTGAGACATCCTGAAATGGTGACCACAGAGAGCTAATAGACACCAGCTACCTACAGATTTGCAGTTCGTAATCCTGCATGTTGTCAACATAATATATAGCATTAGCCACAACACATAAAGATGCATTTCACAGCCAGAATAAGCCTCATTTCTTTTCATGACATTTCTCTCTACATGTTAACACCTTGCTACTACTAAGGCATAATTATTTAACATGCCTCAAGGCTATAAACTCCTAAGTATCTTAAAAGAAGGAACTAAAAACATTGCACTGAAAACCTGCTTTAAAGCTTTATCTGACCTGTCAGTTTGTAGATGAACAACTGATAATAAGCTTTGAATGGTGCTAATAAGAGTAGGAGTTATCTCTATTTAAAAAAAAAAAAAAAAAAAAAAAAAAAAAAGATTGCCCTTCCTCCACAGGTGATTTAGTAAATTTAGACAGTAGTTACACTCTCTTATTAGACAGTGGTGTCCTCAAAATTTTACTTTGTAATTCTTCAGAATTGATTATTTTTATTGTGTCAATATGGAGAAAACCTTTCAGATCTTTGATATATCATAGTCATTAAAAGACCTTTTCTTATTTGTATTGATAATGTATTAAAAGTTGTTTGTGCTTAATAAAAGACTTCTTTAAACATTTATTTAATTTAGTAGTTACATCCTATTTCCAAACATGAGTGCCTTATTTAAAAGGGCATTCTTAGGACTGTGAGGATGGTTTAGTATTTGTTTTTTCATGGTGGTTGCATGTATTTTAGACAGGAAATTCATATGTAAGCATGTATATATAATAAATAAGCATGTTTTATCATGAAAAATTATTGTGAAGAATAATTTAGATCTTTAAGAACTTATTAATAATGGAATACTATTTCTAATTTTTCTCTTCTTCAACTTGAAAAATATTCTCAAAATTATTAACTACCCTGAAGATACTTTGTCTTTAGGGGAGGAGGGCTGAGGAAGAAGGCATACATAATTACTTCAGTGTAATCCTTTATATCAAAGTAATCTTTCTGGAACTAAAATAGCAATTGTTAATAAAATTTAGTTTCTCATTATAGTCTAAAAGCAAAATAAATTCTGAAGTAGTCCAATTACAGAACTGTATGACTCCTTTAGAAATAAAATTTATCATGAAATGCTAGTGCTTTTAAGTTTGTATTAAGTTGAAATGGTAAAATGCAAATATAATTTAAATTTTGTGTATTTTTATCTCAGAAAATGCTTTTTAAAAGATTAAAAATTACTTTTTAGGCTTGTAATCATTACAAAAGTATGGTCTACAAACATGTTGAAGTAACCTTCAATGCAAAAAAACACCTCCCTCTTAACCTGTTAGTTTTTCCAGCCTTCACTGATAGACTTCTTGGAGAATCCACATCCAGTGCCCCTACATCTTCACCACTCACTACGCAGCATCTCGCAGTCTGGTTTTACACAGCACTTTAATGAAACTGTTCTTTTGAAAGTCAACAATGAGCTCCCAGTTACCAAACTGAATGGTTTTTTTCTCTGTCTGAACCCTTTTCTCTCTGCAACATTTATACCATTGAGCAACCATCCTAGACAGTGTCTCCTTCCTTGAAGATGCTATCCTCTGAAATAACTGTGAGTGCAGTTGCATAACCCTTATGTAAGATGTGCCTGCTGAACATGTGCTCTCTCAGATCCTGTCCTCAGAATGCTTTGGCTCTTCTCTAGGTATCTCATCCTTATGGTTGTTATTTTATACCAATGTTCTGGATTATGTATCTGGTCCAGAAATCTAGACTTGTACTTCTTTTTAATTGCCTACTTGATATTTCAACCTGTATTAAAGAATTACCATATTTATGACCTTTCCCTCCTAAAACAGTTTAGGTTAATGGTGCAGCCTTTTTTCTAGTCAAATGTGCCAGGAAATCTAGGGCAAAGTTCAACTGCTCCCTCTTATCTTATGTGGCTGCTGCTTCTGAGAACATCCAGGAACTTCTTTCTATACTTAATCCTCTCACTCCTTTGGGGCTTTACTGCTATGAATATGAACTTTTGTGACTATTCATTTCAGTCTTCACGATGGTGCTAGTCACATTCTACAGTTTATGTCTGTACCCACTAAGCTCCTTTGGAGGAAGGAATCTTGTCTTCTCCTATTCCCAGTCTTGCTCATGTACAGCAGATGCCCAGTCCTCCTAAATATGAATGCTGTATTATAGGCATTAGTAATAATCCCTGTTATATTGCAGTCTGAAGTATGTTTTAAACATACTTATTTTTTAAAGTTACAACTGGCTTACAAGTGAATCTATTCACAAGGAAGTCCTTTGGTCTTTTAGATACTTAGACACTAACTACTCTAGATATTTAGTTACACTCAGTAACTAAATATCAATACTCAATATCTGTTTCTTCTACTGAATTTCAGAGTAGTTAGAATATTTTTATTAAGACGTTGCTAGAAAGGAACTGGTTTGTTAGTAATTCTACCATCAACTCATGGAGTTATAATTGCCAAACGAGTTAATTTTTATATACCTTAAGCTATCCTGCCTACAAAAAGTAAAATAAGGCAGGATCCATAAATATTATTTGTAAATTGTTTCATGTGAGGCCAAATGGGATTTTAACGTAATGAATATCATTGCTCTTCATCTGTACATTTGCTGCTACTTTCATATGTGTATCTGTACATACACAGTTATGAATGAAATCTCATTATGCCCTAATTGACTTTTTTCCATAGGGAGTTCACTTAAAGTGAACATGTGAAAGAAGTGACTGCAGTGTGTTTGAAATCACAGGCTGTTTCTATGTCATAAATTAACATTGGCCTGCAAATAAAACTTTGAAAGAACCACTCATTTCTAATTGGCTTATGTCACAACCTCCCACATTCCTTTAGCCCTTCTCAGGGAATTATTGAAGCGTTGGCAGGGCTAGTTTTATTTTGGTTTTTTGTTTGTTTTTTGATGGTAGTGGTTGTTTATTTTTTTGGTTTGAGGAATTTGTTTTTGTTATTTTTCTTTTGTCTTCTTGTGTGCTCCTGTGTAAGCTTAATATATAATGGCACTTTTGGCATCTGTTCTTCACACATACCTAACTCAGTAGAGTTATGATGAAAAAATGATAACTTCATTTTAGGTCAAATTGGCTTTGTTCCCAGTCCTCATTGTTGGTGACTTTTTAGAGTGACTCATTGGTGATGATGAAACTGTTCAGCCTGCCAGCTGGGATACTGATGGCAGGTCTAGGCTTCATTGCTAGGTAGAATATTGGATACTTCTCACTTTATAGAAATTTACAGTGGCTACTGCTCCCAGTGTTAGCTAGTCTTAACATGTTTGTTATTTCATTATCTTATTAGTTGACATATGGAGTGGTATTATTATTAGTATCATACTCTGTAGTATGAGCATGACAGTTAAGTTACCTTACTGATAGTGATGAGTAAACCATATTCTCTGATCTAAACACATTATTACCAGTGTGATTATGAAGTTAGCTGAATCTATCTCACTATGTGGTCTACATTCGAAGAAATAATTTAGAATTCTCTATTACATTGTAAGGTACTTGCCAATAGAGATTGGGCATTATTATATACTCCTCCCTTTCTCACATCCTACCCAAAGTACACAAGGCCATAGTAAATTACTGTTGCTACTAAAAACTAAACATACTGTGGTTGCTAATGTCCTTTACATCTTCAGCCTATAGGCAATGGTACAGGCAGAAACAAACACCAGTAAGTATATTATCATCAGTAGTGAGATCTGTATGATTAGGATATCTTTGCTTAAGCCCCCAAAGGAAAAATTCTCTAGCATTAAAAACATGGCTGAACATAGCTTGACAGTTAACCGGATTAGTAGACTTATTGTTAACTTTCAATCCTAAAAATGAAAAGCTTTAGCTGGGAGTAGAAAATACACTCTGCTGGTATATACAGCAACAAAAACCCTGATGAGGTAAAATGAAGTCAAAACTTACCATGTGACATTATTTGACTTCCCAACATGCTACTGAAAAGTCTAGGTTTAGCTAAGAAGCATAAATAATGGCAACACTTACAGAGAAAAGAACATACAAAAAAGAACATGGAATGAATATAATGGAAAGTGTTTGGAGCTTAAATACTTGGCTTCAAAAATCTGGCTTTGCCGTTTGCTATGATCTTAGTTAAAAAGAAATCTGAATTTATCTGGGGCTGTAAAATAGTGAAATAATACCAATTTCAAGAATAAAATATGATGATATAAAAAAGTGTTGAAACCAAAATATCAAGAAATAGAATGGAAGGTATCATTGCTATAACTATTTTTTCAGATAGAAAATAGAGTATTCTTTATTCTTTCTGTTGTCCCACATGACAAGCACGGGATGGTGAGGAAATGGCACATTGCTTATGTTCACCTCACCTTAGCTCCACTACCCCTTCACCCTCACCTCCAGCTAACTGGTATGTCAGAATGTATGTTCAGATTTACACACTGAAGATACAAAAGATAAAATTGGTAAGCTTATCAGTAAATAACAAGACTTTAAAATCTGATAAATTAGCTGTTTTTCTGGGAAGATAATAGACCAGCAAGATGGAAAATAAGTGACATCATCTGTTTTGAGATTGATAGGGTGTGACATAACCTCATTAATAGACACAAGTAAAAGGAAGTCATACTAGGAGTGGGTATTAGTGAGTGAGCACCAACCAGTAGAAACAAGAGCATAAATCTGTTATTTATAAAGTATCCCAATATTGAGGTAAAAAGAACAAAGCATAACAAGACCACAATTAGTGCTGTTATGGTTAGAGAGGAGCAGTCTCTAGGTAAACTCAGGCAGTGATGACTGATCCTGTAATAGGGGCATAGAACTAAGGACACTCTGTGAGCTGGCATAAATACAGGGGAGTCTTTAAGACTGAAAGAGGTTCATGGGTATGGCACTTAATATGACTCAATATCACTGCAGAATTTTCAAGCAAACATGAAAGCTTGAGAATAAACACTAGTCCCTGTACTTCAGGAAAAAGCAGAACCTGTACTAGAACATGAAGAACTTAGAGATCAAAAGACAGCCAGAACTATGACTAAAGATTATTTTTGTTAGAGAACTTTATGAGGCTATATATATAATTCCTATATGTAATTTTATAGGAATTCTTAACTGAAAATAATTACCAACTGCTAGTTATCAGGAGCAGTGGTATTAGGGATTTTTACTTAGGCGTGTAAAAAACTCTGACAAAAGGGCTACTGAACTCAAGCCAGTTCCCAGTGAATCTCCAGGAGGCACCTTAGAAGTCTTTCCAAGCTGAATACCATGTCTTTAGGGTGTCCAAATGCATCTGTCTGTGGGGAGAAATGAGAGATGATTGAATGCCTTTCCACTCAGAACACAGTGGCCCATTCACTGTGACCAAGCCTCGAATCTTTTCTATTACCGTTTCAGATTCTCTTTTAGTCTGGAAGTTAGAGTAAATAAAAAAATCTATGTTTGATTTTTTCTCTTAGGAATGTTTTCTCATCTTAACTCTATGTTATCTTTATGGCCAAAAATTTGCTCAGAATATATCATCAAAATATATATGTTATATTTGTAAAGGTATGAGAGGATCAAAATATCACTTTGACAATTATAAACCAGAGTAGGTTTG